ATAGGGTATATACTGATGGGTATATATAAAGTGTAATATTATTGACAGGGTATATATTGATGGGTATATATAGAGTGTAATATTTATTGACAGAGTATATACTGATGTCATCGACCTCTGTTTTACAATAACTTATTTAGTTTTCAGTAGATAAGCACAAGTAGTTACTATAAACTATAGGAATGATAATATGAGGTTGTTACGAGAATACCTCAAAGTATGCACGAAGATGGTACAGCCGGAGTATCGACGACGTGCAGCGCAGGTCAATGCGACGGCGTACTGTCTTTGTGCATACTTTGAGGTATCCTCATAATAACCTTATTATTTTACATCTTTTCCTTCCAAGGCTACAAAAAGTTTAGAACAGAATCAGCGAACTTCTTCGTGTGGAGTCCGGTCAAACCCTGGTGGCAGCCATGTTTGTTTTTATTATTAGATAACGCTTACATGCGTAATCATTCCATATTTGGAATTTGCAACTCCTTATATGGTAGAATGAAAATTACCCTGTAAAATACCACAAAATTACGGCACGCTGTAACTTATTGCGTTACGGTGTCAGATGTATAATAATAACTATTAGTTAGTAATCTTCACAGGGAGTAAAAACTCATGAGGTGGTGGTCATCGTGGCGACTGTATGCATCCCATACTATACAAAGCAACATATACACACCTAGGTCAATTGAATTGTTATTTTAGGAGTGGTTAGTCAGAAACTCAGGGACAATGACAGAATTTTGAAAAAAAAATTGTACTGATAACAAATCATGTAGAGATCATGAGTGACAAATAATTCACACTGTGGTTAAAAAAAAATGACCCGCAAATTCATCATAGGAAGAATAAGGAGCATAATATTAATACAAAAATAAACATTTACAGCAGTAATATTTCAAAATCTTTTCTGTTAATTTTTACAGATATGAGCAAACTTTGAATCAAATTGAAAAAGAGCGGGAAGAAATGATGAAGAAAAAAAAGCTGTGGAATGTGGGAAGACAGCTAAGTGAAACAGCAACCCAGTGTGATATAGAAGTAACAAAAGTATTGGAGGAAATACCTAACAAACATAGTGATAATATTGATGATCTCAGGAGATGGAAAGAAAAGAGGCGATCAAAGTCAATAGATGGAAATGCAACTCGATTGGTAGAATTGGGGAAACACAATTCACAAGAAAGCGACAATGATGATGATTTGGATGAGAAAATAAAATATCATAATATACGAAGCATCTTTGGGCGTTCTGAGAAAAATCCTGGAGATAAAACAAATTTACGACCAATTATATCGCTGAACAGGAAATCAAGAGAAATGTTGAATCCAAGTTTATCAGAGAAACTTGAACAGAAGGCAAAGTTAGATCCAATCGTTTTTCAGGACATGACATCCCCAGCAAATGTTAAACCAATCGCAGCACAGCACACAACATCGTCAGCATACATGGAGCCAATCATATCACAGAACACTACATCACCAGCAAATGTTAAGCCAATCGTGGTACAGAAAATGCCATTGTCAGCATACCTTGAACCAATCATATCACAGAACACTCCATCATCAGTAAATGTTAAGCCAATCGTATCACACAATACTCTATCGTCAACATACATTGAGCCAATCATATCACAGAACACTCCATCGTCAGCATATATGGAGCAAATCGTAGCACAAAACACTCCATCACCAGCAAAAGTTAAGCCAATCATATCACACAACACTCCATCGTCAGCATACACTGAGCCAATCGTATCACAGAACACTCCATCGTCAGCATATATGGAGCCAATCGTAGCACAAAACACTCCATCACCAGCAAAAGTTAAGCCAATCGTATCACACAACACTCCATCGTCAGCATACACTGAGCCAATCGTATCACAGAATGCTCCAGCATCAGCATACATTGAGAACACAACATCACTAGCAACATATAAACCAACTATAGAGTTGTACAACAGAACAAATAAGCAAGAAAATCAGGATGATAATCAATTGAATAACATTGGTTTGAACAAAGATAGAACAGAAATCTCTGTACCAACAACTATACATAATGATTTTAACTCAGAAGATCACCATAGCAACAAGAAACTACATTTATTACCAAGATTAATGATGGAAAAGGCAGCACAAGATCAGAATACAAGTATGAAGAGATCACAGATGAAAAGACAACACTTTGTGGATGAGAATATGCCTCCAGTTTCCATGGCAATATCAGATCCTGCTAAAGCACCATCCTCAGCTATTAAACATGAAGGAAGTTATGCGTCGCCAGTTTCGCTCTACAGTACGCATAAATTTTACTCTCCGTATTCAATGCCATTTATACCAATGACAGATAACAGTCAGTTGCAGACTGTCAACTTGAGGAAACAGAGTTTGTCTACATCACGCCATGTACGGTTCAAAGATTTATCTGATATTCACAGGAAAACAAAAAGTCTTCCATCCCGGCTGTCCAGTTTCTCACTGACCCGTATCAGTAAGGACACTAAGCCTGAAACAGCAAAGACTTCTCACTGTCAACCAGCAATGGACAAACCGGGGATGGATTCTGACAGAAAACCATTCCTCAGTCTGAACAAAAACACGGAAACAGTACAAATTTCAGGAGAGTCTCATTTATATGATGATTCAGTAGTTAAGTTTACTGATGATATAGTAACCAAGGCAACAGATGAGAAGATAATTTCAGAAACTGAGGGTGTGGTAACCAAAGCTACAAATGACAAAACGCCCAAAGCAAAACAAAAAGCTATGGCAACTAATTTAAAAGCATTAAGACGCAGTCCTGTACCTAAGGCAACAACAAATGATGTAACCAAGACAATAATACGTGATGTCATTACTAAGGCATATACACACCAGAGTGATGATGACAGAAAGTTGCATGCTATTGATGAATCCACCAATGATGATAAAAAGGTCCATGCTAGTGATGAAGTCAAAGCAATGTTAAAAGATGACAATTTTGTGAAGTATCAAGCAGAATTAATAGTAAAATATGAACAGATAGAAGATAAACCTGAAATAAAAAGTAGGGCTGCTATTGCAACTCAATCATGGAAAAAACCAGCAGATGAAGAAAGCCAAGCCCAGAGCCCTCATGTTGAGAAGCATCAAATAAGCGTAAAACAGAGCAGAGTTGAACAAAAACAAGAACAGAGTCTGGTACCATTTCCTCAACTGGATAATACAAAACCTGAGGCAAAACATAGAGCAGAGCTTGGTCACACAAGGCAGTACAAAATTGAGAAATCTGAGAGTGGTTATAAAGCTGAAGATACAGTTCTGACAAGCGAATTACAGGATATTGTCAAGTCCAGGAGCAAACAATCTTGTGGGTTGGATTTAGGAACCATGGAAACGGTGAACTATTCTGGTCAAAAATTTAAAAATACAACAAAAAGTGTGCCTATTGTGACACGTGATGACAGTTTTGAGACAGAAATTATGTTAATAAATCTAGAAGAGATTGAATCACACATAGAAACTAAAAAAGTAGTTACAAAAAGAAAAGTTGATACATCTAAAGCTCATGAAGCGACTATGATGATTAGAATGGCTGCTAGACGGCCAACAGCTTTAGTTAAAAGTGATGAGAAATCATAAAATGAATCAATTGACAAGGCTGATAGGGGAAAATGATGGGGAAATTATAAAAATAAGATTTGTGTGGGTAACTTTCAACCTCCCTGGGAAAGTCGTTATTAACTTTCCAATAACGCCATCAACTACCTCCACACAGATAAGATAATAAAAATTTACAACTTCCTTTGCATAGTCGCAACAATGTTGCAACATGAAAACAGACAACAACTTAGTCATGGCACTGACCTAGACAAAAGTTGATTACTCCAAAATCAATTAGCGCCAGGAGAGTGAGATTGTCACAAAATGATAGCACTAATAAGAAAGTCCCCATATTGGGATGTTCATAAAGACTTTTCTGGAGAGTTTGCTAACTCCCCATACAATCTGGTTTGAGTCTGCTGTAACCAATTGTAGTGGCTGCTAGACAGCCAACCCATTTCTGAAAAATTATGGAAAAATCATAAGAATTAAGCAATTGCAATGGCTGCTGAACCGCCAACAGTTTTAGTGGAAATGATAGGAAACAATGAAAATTAAGGAATTGCAATGACCGCCAGATGGCCAACAGCTTTAGTGAAAACTAATTTGAAACCATGAATAATTGCATTTTGAATGGCCGCTAGATGGCCAACAGATTCAGTAAAAAAAATTTGAAAATCACAATGAAGCAATTCAAATGAATAGCTGTCTGACGGCCAACAATTTTATTTTGTGAAAATGATTTTGGAACATACTATATTGTAAGATTGATAAAAATAAAAAAACTGGATGGGAAAAAAAAAAAATTTGTGAGGTATTAATATTTTTGCATTCAACGAATGTTTGTTTTAATCTACTACATGTATATGAATAATTATAAAATCAAACCAGTGTCAGCGACCACCTCTGTATAATGTACAACATGTCTCTTTAGCTAATTTTCACTAATACACGATGGCGCTAATTTAAGATAAAGTGTATTCTCACAATGAGATTGTTGGTACTTTAGCTAAATTAAATCAAATTCGTTAAAATGACATGTAGCTATATCAGTGTGTTTTACAGTATAGACCACTGTCTATAGTGACCACTTGTAGTCAGCATAACGTACGAACAACTACCATATATAGTACCCACCTGTATATAAAGACCATTTAATAAGGTCCCTTGAGTGGTCACTAAACACAGGTTTGACTGTACTATAATTTTTTTTCAAATTGTATATTGTATATTGTTATTACGTTTTCTATGGTATTACCGGTATGTGTAAATATTATTATTACTGGTTGTAGAATAGTTACTAATCACATATTAATAATTAAAACCAATCAGAATATCGTTGACAAAAGTCATTGAAATCACATACACATGTAAATTGATGAAGTTGAAAAATTCTAAGTTTTCCATTGGGTATAAATTGGTTAATTGTATAAGTAATTGCTAATAACCTTGTTATTTCTACTTTTACCCCATCTGTAAGATAGTCTTTTTTTTATTTGTCTGATATGATCCCAGATGAATTTTGGCCAGTATTTTTTTTTCTGGCAAATTTTGTTCAGATATATAGTATTGTTCATACTTTTATACAGTTCATGTTATTTCAGTGAGGGTTTGATTAATACAGTTCATGTCAAATACTTTGAGGGAGAGATTAACAAAGTTCATGTTATATGAGAGTGAGAGCTTTATGATTAATACAGTTATTGTTGTATTTAATAAGGGCCTTGGGGTTAATACAGTTCATTTTATATTCTGGAGATGGCCTTGTGATTAATACAGTTCATGTTATATTCTTCACTATGTAACGTCTATTACTCCTTCTGATTTATTCCTACCAAATTGTACCTGATATCAATGAACAAGGGTAGTTTAGATTCAGTGCTCACAATTGTTAAAATGAAATTTTAGATTGTTTCAAACAACTTGCCATCCAATGAAAGGTTGAAATCGGGAGATCATATGGATTGATTTCAATCAAACTTGTTGTACAGACAGTACCGCTTCAGGTATGACATTTTTAATGCTTTGGTGCACATATATTTCTATATTTCAAACAGCGCCCCCAAGAAGTACCAGTATTGCCTATAGAGGGCAGTATACAACATTACTTATTCTCAGGTGTTCTCAGCGGCGGATTCCGGGTATTTTCGCCGTCTGGCAACCATCACATTAAAAACAAAGGTCGAAAGCTCTCAGAAAACTGTACTTTGGGATAGTTGTTGAAACTCCTAAACAGCGCAACAAGATTATGTGCAACATGTATAAATTTGGTTGCTCAGGATTACTTCAAAGTTGAGTTTGTGTTGTTTTCTCAACTACAGCTGTCTTCACAACACCTTACATTATTATCAGCATACATGTTACACATTGGTCTAAATAAAGAAATAATTTCATTTTTAGACTCTCTTCAAACTTTATCTGACGATAAGGACTTACAATTTCATTTCTGTACATCTGTATCTCAAACAAGCCTGGGCCAATTGTATTCGAACTAAAAACGCACAATTTGCATACACACATGTATTTTCTTTTTTAATCCAATTCAAGATGGCCAAACAGCAGCCATTTTAGTGCTGAAAATTCATGAAAATCATGCATTTTTGCCATTCTGGAACCAACCAGATCTTGGTCGTCTGTCGATACATTTCATTCAAACGTTCATCGTTTTTTTTTTTGTTATGTCAATGCAAATAAATTAAAATATGGATATAATTTTGATGTCATTTAGATTACGTAAAAATGACTATGTAAGGCATGGTGTTTCATTTTCATAAAAAAGTGATTATACTCGCAACAATTACCCACAAATTGTCAACCACTACTAGTACGTTAACAGTCGTCTCTCTGACGAGCCTCTCTGACCACAGCTCTAAAAGTAGCTGTAAATTTGAGTTCCAGTTGGGTAAAACGAACACTATGAATTAGACAAGTGTTAGGTGTGTTTTTGCACGACAGTGCCTTCTGGAATCTGCAATCTTTTCCACTCGCAAGCGATTTAATGTACAACGTCAGTATGTCTAGTATATGCTATGTGTCCAGATTTCGATGGCCGTTATAAATTACATAGAAAATGTTTCATGACAAAAAAAGAATGTTACAGCTATGGCCACTTTGTAGAGAGGGGACACATAGGGAGAATCTAGCCTGGAACCCACCACGTTGTACGAAT